CTCAGCACCAGTCCAACTCAGCCACTCCCTCAGCACCAGTCCAACTCCCTTCACCTGTCCCTGATCAGTAATCAAGCACTCCCTCATCAGCACAACTCTCCTCACCTGTTCAAGTCACTTTATAAACCCCTGTCTCACTGCCAGGTCATTGTTCATGTCTACCCACCCGTTTTTGCTCGTCCTGTTCCAGGTTTCCCAGTCTGTCTGCCCTGCCTCGTCTCGTGTCTCGTCCTTGGATTCCCTGTTGTGTTCCGGTGAACACTCCTGTTTTGTTCGTGATTTATTAAAACCTTTTTTTCACTGCATCTGACTGTCTGCACTTGAGTCCTCCTTCATGCCCCGTGACAATTATTGACTAATCGGGTAATTCATTTCTCACATAAGCAGTTATTTATTTTGATTTATAATATGGCTGAAAATAGTGGGGGAAAAAAATCACAATTCCTCTAGAAGACCAACTCAAATTGTTTTATTTTGTCCAGCTGTAAAGATCTCGATTCTTCTTCCATATGAGACACTTTTGAGAAGACGTAACCAGAGAGCTTTTGTCAAAGGGATCAATTGATCATCAAAATAGTTTAATAATATTGAAATGGACTAATGAATGCAATAACTAATCATTTCAACCCTATACATTTGGTTGATCAGACCTTTTGATAAAGTTTTTCTCAATTATTAGCTGTCATCACATTGTATATTTTGCAGCCAGTGGATGGAGTTTGAACAGTTGCTCTGGAGATGGTCGCTTTCAAATCCACTGCCTCCCTCAACAGACAGCCTTGTGTTCAGAGAGTCCATCCTTGGGTCACATGATAACAACTGAGCCATCTCCTCCTGAAACTATTTTGGTCTTTAATTTGAGAACGAGTGTCCTCCACAAACATCTGCATGTCATCATCAAATGTGGCTGCCGTGGTTAGAAGTGCTCATCGTGCGGATGCTCTTTAGAGCCCGGTACTCCACAGTGGCTCTTTCCCCCCCGCACTCTGAACTGTGCAGCTCTCAGGGGGAAGGGATGTAAATATATCAGGGTTTTCTCAGCAGATCGACCACTTGAAAGGTATTTGTAAATGTCATTTTTAAAGTGTGAAATTGTGAGGTTTTCATGATTTGTATGGAAGCAAGTTAGTGTGATTTTGTTGTGTTTGACAAAGCTGCACTTATTCACTGTTTCATAGAGAGAACCTTCTGATGCTGTTTATATTTGCACCATCTGATCTCTGTTGTGTACATAATCGGTTACATGTCGCAGGTCTCTGGCTGCCTCTGAATCAGTTCCACTCCAGAGACTACAGTAAACGTTCCCATTATTTTTCATAACGACGTCTGAAACCGGTTGGACATGAATACTGACATGCAGCAAAGAATGCAAGGGGAGTTTAAGATGTTACACATTTCTGAGTAACATGTGGCTAATCAGTCATCTGTATGATTACCAGTGATGTTCAGAGGGGATTCAAATCTCATTTAGTGGGAATTCTGTTTGGTTGACATCAGTTTTCAGACTGATCAACCAAGATCTTCACAAACGGGATCTCTGAGTCTCCATCGCAGCATGCTAGACTGTGAATAAGTGTTATGCTAATGTCATTAGATGTATAGGTTCAAGTTTGTGATTGCAATTGGATTTGCTTCACCTTGCTTGTTAGAAAGTTAACTCGTGTTTTATTGTAGTTATTGCAAAAAAAGAGGCCAACGGGACAGTTCTTTTGTTTAGTTTGTTAAATACATGATGCGTTTGCCAGAACCTGTGGGAAATTTAGATGGAACAGGTGCTGCCGTCACCATACCAGCAGGTAGGTGTGTGTGTGTGTTAACATTTCCCAACACAGACACAGCCAGCTCAGCTTTGTCCCGTGTTTGGGATTAGCATCACGCTGACCCTGAGAAGTAACAGACGGCATGAAAGCTATGTGGCGATAGCGACTGGCAGTATTTCTCAGCGGCTCAGCCTATAATATCACCATTGCCTTTTATTTAACCTCTTTTATTTCATTAAAATAGTTCAACATTTTCTTTCTTTGTGAGTTTGATGAGAAGGTTGATATCCCCCTCATGTCTGTGTTGATGGTATAAAGCTACAGCCGGGAGGTAA